GTTTAACATTCTTTTAAAATATACTTATATTTATTAGAAACAATAGTTTGCTACATATCGAACCTTTCTGATTCTAGAGTTCATCTTAACAGTCAAAAACGTTAAGATTCTTGAGTTTGAATGAAGGCCAACCTCTTTGTTTTTAAATTATGATTTTTGTTCATTCAGTCCGTTTTATCGTTACACTGCTCGGCAAATTGTCAAGTCAAAATACCAAGCGTGGTTTGTCAGACTTCACACGTCTTATGAAAACTAGAAAATATTTTCAAACCTATCTTTTAGAATCAGGTTTCCTCAGGATAATTTTGTTAACCATAAGGTGAGTGGTTATCATTCGAGCAGGTTTTGTGCCAGCTTCACTTGGTTTTCCAAGCGTGCGTTATCACTGGGCTTCCACTGCCTTTTTGATATTTGCATGGATTTAATATATTATTAATTTAATTTTAATATAGCTATAACACTAAATCCTATGCGAATATCATTAAGCATTTATAAAAATAAGAAGTGTTCTATATGCAGTCCCATCAGACTATTAATCCAAGTCAAAGCTAAAGCGACAAAGGCGAGTCAGCTCATAAAATTTATAGGCGATCGAATGAGATAATATGGTCGACGTTAAGAGCAGCTTAGACAGTTTGGAAATTTAAATGTGAAGTAAGTTTTGCGAGATTGTGCGGTATAAATCAGTAGAAGACACGCAGGCGGCAGACAATCGGCGCGCGGGAGTCGCGAGCGCGGCCTCTACTCGTCATCCTATAAATCCGGAACTCCCTCGGGCTTCTTCACCTTTCTCCATCTTTATATAACATATTTTTCCCTACACATGCGTGTGTCACACTCAATTCACCCTTTATCTTAAACCAGTAAAACAAGTGTTTATATATTCAATGATAACATTTTTTATTTAAATGTGAATTATTGATGAAATAAAAAAGTAAAAAAATATTATTCTAGCAACAAAATAATATACTCACGATAAGCTAATTATGCTATGCTAATTAGCCTCCTTACTATTAACTATTATTATCATTTGGTTTCTACATTTTTTTTTAATTTGGTTAAAAACATTTCTGCTATTCATTGTTTTCTTTTTCGTTGATTAAAAATGACAAACAGTGTTATTAATATCTTGTATACATATATTTGTAGCTTTAAGAAATGGAAAAGTTCGTTATTTGAGATAAAGTTTTATAAATATTGCTAAAACTGGATAACCTCTGGTCCTGCACCTTTTGCTGGGTAAATTAAATTTTAATCATCTTACAGTATTTATTTCTAATTGTTGAATGTCACAACTCACAATCTTTGTTTTTTTTTTGTTTTGACTGGTAACAAATCTACGTCTATGGTACTTGCATTCCCAACCACTGGTTTTTACAAATACTCAACGGATATCGCTAAAAAAAAGTTATTATCTATGCCCAAAACGAAAAGAACTGGGAAAGCTCATGACATACCGGTAAAGAAGGAGGATTTTCCAAAAATCTACATAGTCAAAAGTTACTGCATACTTTGATCAATAAAAATATTATACTTCTAAACTTTAAATTGCTTTTATCATTATTTATTCATTAGGACATTCCCTGTTTTTTGCCTGTACCCTTCATAATATTATATATTCTTTCTTTTTCTTTCTATTAGTAACTTCAATTACTAAACTTTAACATTTCAACTGACAAAGGCCGAATCTATGGTTTTTAGAATTTTTGTCTGTCTGACTGTCTGTTACCGCATCACACAAAAACCACTAGAGGAATATTGATGAAATTTGGTATGGCGATAGCTGGTTATCCGGGTCAAAATAAAGGATACTCTTTACCTCATAAATATCTCATTTCTGAGAAATAATACAAAAACTGCAATGTAAGAGTATACTAATATGTAAAACCTAAGAATTTGGTTTTCGGTCATCTGAACGCGAGCGGAGCCTCGGGTAATGCTAGTATTGATATAAGTGAACAATTTTAGTGTCAGAAAGAAATCCTTTAAATCAAACACTATGCTTATAAAATCCAAATATATTATCTATACTAGCATTATAAAGAGGTAAAGTTTGTGTTTGTGACGCTGTAGGTAATCTCTGGATCTACTGAACTGATGGTAATGAAATTTGGTAAAAAATAGTTCGAGACCTTGAGAAGATCATAGGATACTTTTTATCCCGGAAATCATCCCTTAAGGGGGTCAAAATGGGGATGAAAGTATGTATTGGGAAGCAAGCTAGGGATGAACCCGAGCGAAGCGAGGGTGAGTCGCTAGTATTAAATATTTAATTTAACTTACTTCAAGGAAGTTACTTGTAGGTGTCTCGTTGTATCGCGTATTTTCTATTCTATATAGGTTGTGTTTTTTATGTTTACATTTTCTAAAAATACACCTATTGCTACTTTATGTTATAGAAAATTAAACTTTTAAGTACTTAATTTATATACTTTATATTTACGACGTCGTAAATAAATAGTAATTTAAATAGATATTTAAAGCAACACGGTACGGCTAGTTACACGCTAGTTGTTCTTTATAGTAACAATAATTTGAAGAAAACTTTCAAATGAGAATGTTGCTTTATTATTTATTAGCGGTACATAATTTTACTTATGTTCAAAATAACATAATTGAATTAGTACTTTTAATATGTCATCAATGTTTAAATCACTATTCCTTACATTTTCCACGCCGTGAAAGAAAACAGCGACATGACTCCTTTAAAAATTAACTCATAAATAAATAAATAAACATTTTTCAAGGCAGGATTCTTATTCTCATCTGTCAGTTGTAGTATTCAAGGTATTTTCCGCTGAATTCGCCTAATTCTTTTTCACGCTACATTTCAAGAATCTTATTTTTGTAATTACAAAAATGTCTAGTTCGTCGACGTTATCCTTAATTGCTGGACATAAAAATTCCATTTAAATTTCCCTTTTAACGATCAGGAGGTCTGTCTAATTGTTATAATACACTCGTTTACGTATTTTTATTGCCGGTACAATAATTAGAACATAACGGTAGGTACTTCGCTTTTTCAGTAATTAAACTTTCTTGCAGAAAAAACAATATTGCAAGATACGATGGCGAGTGTCGGGGGGGAGTTTGAGTAAGTATTTTAGGAACTGGGGAAAAAAAGTAATTTACTGCTTATTAGAAAGTCGCGGCTCTTGGACAGGGCTTGTTAATTATAAATGAAACTTTGATAACGATTCTTTTGTTTTCGAAAATAATTCATTTACATGATTTTATTTGATAAATAATGTAACAGCATAAATAATGCTTAGATAAAAACATAAATACGATTTATTATTATATAAAAACATGAATATAAGTTACTAGTTAATTAATTATACTTATTTATTTATATTTGTAGCCTCCTAAATAATTAAAAACGACCTGAAATCTATTCACCCTACCTTAAAGTGTACTTAAGTTGCGAAAACTTGTACGGATTTGCTTATTTGAGGTGTTCGCCCAAAAATAGATTAATCTGCAAAGTTACTCTATTATAAGTTGTTAGGCGAGTTAAAGTGAAATTGGTTTAAGTCGACAAATTCCGCCCGTAGTTCGACGACAACGCGAGCTTCAGCTAACTCCAGTAAGACAGTTTTCCATGACAGCTACGAGACTGCTCGTAAATAATACATTAGGTTTATATTCGTGTACTCTTGTATTATTTTAATTAAGTGGATCAGAATAAGAAAAATCTTTTATCCCTCCTTGTTTTAAAGGTATTTTTGAAGATATACTTCTTTTGGCACGTTTGGAAAAAATATGAGAGTAAAATTTTTACGATGCGCGTGCACACCGACAGCCAAAAAGCGACATGGTGAAGTTAACTGCACAAACAGAGAGTTTTGACATACGGGATGAAATCTTTAGCTATTTTTGTTCTGTTACGCCAAAGAAGTATAATTTCATAAGTACGTACATAAGTATTAAGTACACACACATTTTTTATATTATATTAACTAGCGACTCACCCTCGCTTCGTTGGGGTTCGTCAACATTTAGTAACTATAGATTTCTCAGAGATAAGATATTTTCCCGCAGTTGACCCCGATAACCAGCTATAATTATACCAAATTTCATCAAAATCTGTCCTGTGGTTTTTCCTTGATGCGGTACAGACATACAGACAAAAATTCTAAAAACTATAGATTCAGCCTCTGTATCGATAATAATGTCTATTTCAATAAGATTTTCCATAAATTATTTAATGTACAGATTCGGCTTTGTTACAATTTTATTATATGTATAGAAGAATATATGAGGAATACCACATTACGTATACTTAAAAATGAATAAAATATAATATTGTAATATCACGTTTAAAGTTGAACTAGAACTATAACAAAAAATGTTTTGATTTACTTATTTTTTCTGAAATAATTTAGTCAATTAGGTACAGTAAAAATAGTGAATTTTAGATTTCCTTAAGTATTTTTCGTTTATAGTTATTTATACAGCTATAAATCCACTATAATTATTACTTAAAACAAACCTTCCCTTAAAACTTTTTTAAATACGATTTGTATAAATAGATTTTTTTTCAATCAAACCTAAAAAATTAAGTGCTTTGTTTGAAACTAGTTTAGCATGCTGTTCTACCAGCGGTTATTTCTATTGCCACCGTTTTAAACAGTTTTTTTTAAACTACGAGGTAAATCATTACCGTATCATCCTACCATTATATACCATCATACCATTATACCATCATACCATTAGTACTAAAATCCGTTCTCAATCATTCTCAAGAAATACGCGTTTAAACTGACAAAAAATTCTAAAAATATTGAATTCGATTCTATAAGAAACGAATTTAACCCCAAAATTGTAAAATAGTAAATGTTTCATAAATTTGATGATAAAATAATTAAACGACCAGAACTTCAATTCTAAAAGCACATATGAGGTCATTATCACGACACACTGTATCACACTAGTATTAATGTGTCGATACAAAATGCGTGACGAAAAATTGCAATTATGCATTGGGGTGCATTCTATCACAGCTGGGGTGTCGTGAAGTCGCGACCCAGGATCAAATGTTTGGGTGTTAACCTCGTTGCACTTACTATGAATAGGATTTTTTTGTTGTGCACTAGTAGTCCACCCTCGGGGGTGGACGGTTCTGTTAGGCCTTAAATACAACCAACGAGTTCATTATATAACTTTTATTTTATTTATGCCACCTTTACGACAATATTAGGTCGATCAGCTCCTTATATTTTTTTATTATTATATATTCATTTTTTTTTTAATTATTAGTAAAGTTTTAGGCATATTTTACATTATTATGTTAATACGCATGCGTAAGCTAAATAAACATAAATATCTTATAGTATTTATGAAATTTATTATAAAAGGATAAGTAATTATATGAAACACAATATTTTCTACATTATTTATGAAATTTCGTAATAATAGTCATCCATCGTTACATATTGTTGAGTTTTGCGATTTATTTCACACAGGCGCTGATTTAAATGTAAATAATAATTCAAACTAATTTTTAATTAAGTTACTCTATCCTAAAGTATTAGTACTTTACATTGATTTTTAAAGCATTAAAAGCATCTTGCAAACAACCATCTGAGCTTATTTGAAATAGAAAAGTTAACTATAATATTAGGTAAATATTTGACAGCTGTTATCTCTGTCTCATGGAATATTAATAACATATTTTTTATCGAATAGCAGCTCGTTATCATATGCTATAATTCTTCAGTTTGCTCCCGTTTTTAGTATAATATATTCATGTTTTCACATCGGCCTCTTTCGAAACCCAAGTCGTTTTATCAATGTGTCACTCATTCCATAACCATTCAAAAGTAATTAACTAATACCAGTTATACATATATATTTCGTAGTTCCAAAAGTTATAATGTATTCAACTAGAGATAATTCTCATTCCCATAAATATAACCTGCTACTTACGAAACACGAAACATTAATATTAAATCATGAGAATTATTTGACGGTAGCATATTGAATATGAAAAATAACATCGCTAATGGCCCCCATTAATTCACGGGATCAAAGTCTAATATTTTTGAATTGTATAAATTATCCGACCGAAGTTTACGCTCAATCATTTGTAGCTAATAAATATTCCTGCAGTGTTTCTTAAAACGCTGCGTCAACCTATCAATCAGTTTAAAAATTCCCTGTTGATCCCCTTAATTTAATCAAAAGATCGCTTTGGCTGGTCAGGGGAAGAAAAAACGGGATGACGTCACGAATGTTACGGTAATGTAACATTATCAATACTGTACCTACTGAATTATTGATGAACTACAAATCAAGGGTGTTTCTGTTCATTCTTATCTATATTTGAACGCAGTAAATCATTAATTTTTGGCTTCTTAAGCCATCTTCCTCGGTTTTGCATACGAAAACTAAAAAGATTAGCCATATGTATAGGTTAATTTATAGAATTAGAGTTAAAAGATATTATGTAAAAAAGAACATAACAAAGATTTATTTTAGCAGATTTTTTAACTGATTTATCAGTGTTTCACAAAATCCGTGTCCATAACATACATATAGTTGTATCTACATACGATTGCACGTATCAAATAAAACACTTTCCATAAAAGCAATGAATCAACAGTTTATCCGAAATTATTTTCTTAAGCGTCGTAAAGCGAGCGTAAGAAATAAGTGAAGATTGATATTAATTACATTACAGATACGAGTTCAATTGACCCCAATCGGGTGTACGTGGCTCCCCAGGCCGGCACCCCGTAGGATGTAATAAAATTTGCATACTTTTAATCAAAGCCCGTGTCGCGGAGAAGTTTGCCAATAACGGACCGCCGTGATCGATCTCATGCCGGCTTGTCGTCGCATTACAATGCTGTTTGTTGTGTAAATGCCGAGACGAAGTGATAATGTCGTCAAAACATTATCGTTTTTTATAAAATATGTATATATATTTTTCAAAATTTACTTGCTGATTAAAAACCCTTTAAAAATGTTTGAAGTAGATTTCAATAAAAATATAGATACAAATTTTTCATTTTCACATTACTTAAGTATACAATGAACAACAATAAACATTTTTAAAATTAGAATTATCAAAGAGAACATTAATATTGTTTTAAGAATCCTAACAGCGCAATTTGCAATAAATTAGCTAGCATCTAATACAAAACGACAAAACGGCTAGAGAGCAGCGTCACGGCCCCACCGCCGCGCCGCCGGCCCGCCCGCCTGTCCATCTCCGCTCCGCATTAATCGTGTTTAGTTAGCGGATATTGGCGGCGGAAATTCAAATGCAATCAAATGAAAATAGCATTCGTAAAAAAGCAAAGAAAACAAACCGACAGGCGTCAGTCTAGCGAGCGAAGCGCCCGCGCGCCGCCCGCCCTCCCCACCGCACGCTGACCGTACTTACACGATTTTAAATTGTACATATCTGAAATTCCGATCTGTCGCGCACCCACCCTGCGCTATGAAATGAAACGAAATAAAACTAGGACGACACGGCGCGCCCGGAAAAAATCAAAATCGAAATTAAAAATAAAAGGATTTTCCGGCGCGAGTGAGGGAGGCGGATGTTGCAATGTTTGCGGCCGTCATTCAATGCAGTCCGCAATAAAAACATGCGCTGAGCATCTACATATAAATATGTGCGGTAGGATTGATTGGAAATGAATATGTGTGAGTGGGGGTGTTGCAGGAATCGAAGGTGAACGCCGAGCCGCTAAGACTGTAATCGGTTTTGCCCGAGGCCGGCCGGTGTCGCACCGCTCACAATTAAACTTTGTTTGTACATGTGTCGCTGGAGATTAGCCACATCGGTCTTTTTAAGTGAACCAGCAACAGTCCCACAAGCAATTTAAGAATTTCAAACACCGTTTTAACTATTTATTCGTTAAAGTTTTCTAAACCACAATTTGTGCAACTGGTAAAAAGCAGGAGCTTTATTTACATGTTACATAAATGCTTTGGTTTATACAATAGCACACGACACAAAAATAGTAGTACCTACCAGAATCTAGAATAACTACGATGTATAAAATATTTTGTTAAATAAATTTTATTCATGTAAATAAAATATATAAATCCACAACTTTACACAAATAGCCATAGTAGCAACGCTTAAAGATGTAAATGTAAGCGGCGAGCGCACGACGGCCATAAATCATCGGGAGGGGGCGCTGATTGCCTACAATTATGGCATTAGCTTTCGTGCCTAATTTTATATTGCTTTAGCTTCTGAATCTCAAGTGATCCAGTGTATAGTCTAACAAAAAATAAAGTTATAAATATTACATACCTAATTAATATAAAATAAAATCTATCTATAAATAAAGAAATAAAATATTATGATATTTTATTATATAAACAAAGTTACATTGTATTCTGCTCGTGATAGAGGTATTCGTAAATTAGTTAGTATTACTACAGCATCCGAGTCTGACAATTATCTACCTGTAAATCATGCATGTTTATGTAGACATAAAAATAAATTTGAACTATTGACCAAAGTCGAAAATTTTAGAAGTTATAAGTAAATAAATGTACATCATACATATTTACTACTGAAATGAAGTAGTTTTTCAGTAATTTTATTTTGCTTATAAACTAGCATAATGTTTCTACATTTAACAATGATGGGTACTTGTTCGCTCCAATCAATCAGACGCCCCTAGCATGACAGCTACAAGCATGAAATCTTCAGGGGCAAAGGAACAAAGATAAGTCCCGTTTAACTTCCGTTTCCAACTTATCGAATAATTTAACTGAACATTTATTTTTGCGCGCTCATCAATCAAGCGAACTCGCTCTCAACCGATAAGCCGCGCCTCGACGCCGAGAAATGACTAGGCATTACATAAATCCCCTCTGATGATGAAAAGTGAAGTCTAACAGATAAGAACCGACAAAAAGTTACGATGAGAAATGAATCGCGATTTATATTCGCGGGTGTTCTCGCGCTTAGGTACTCGCCACGGCGCAAAACGTGGCTCCGCGTTTGCTGCAAGTTATATTTTAACGCGTTATTTCACTTTATCATATAATGCTCTATTCATTCTAAGTTATTTACACAATATACACGTACTGAAACTCTTAACATAACAATTTTCAATTCTAAATGAGTAGGTATATTGTAAAAGGCACATAAGAAGCAAATTATGCTTTATCTTACTATAAAAATACCGGGTAAAAAAGCTTAAGTTTAATCGAAACTTTTCTCCCGGCGGCCATTATTAAGATAAACAGTACAATACATAAGCCTATCTCGACATTTATTTTATCACGGGTTCACATCACGCGCCGCTATTTCTTGTTATGATACGGCCCGTACCTGAGTGGAGCTGAAAGAAAAGCTATAAACCTGTTCGAAGCGTTTCTTCCGGCGCGCCGGAGCGTCGCGTACGCTCGCCGACTGGTAAGCAGTGCGTCCCGCGCCCTCGCCAATCGCCCCCGACCACCCCCCACATCTGCCGACCATATTTTCCACTTTATGTGTGACAGTTGAGGTAATATCGAGAGTCTCTCCGCTCTCTGATTGGACGAAAAATACACATTAAAGGAACCTGCCGGTTGTGAGCGAGCGATTCGAAACTGTATTCCCGTGGAAAATGTCGGAAAATATTGTATTATGGGGGTGGAAAATTGCCACCCTCCCGCCCGTTCGCTCGACTCGGCAAAAACTGTCGAGTATTTGTTTTTGATGAAAACGATTTATTATTCTACGTGGGTTGGAGGCAATAAAGATAAGCCAGCGAGGTGGCGGAGCCTTATTACGGCTAACCCTCGCCTTTGTTTCCTTATAAAGAATAATAAATGAGGCCGCCATGCTTATATACCAACTTTCTTAATTATTTATTTATATTAAACATTTTAATATTTTGTATAGCTACAACATTCGACTTGCTTACCGAAGTGACGGATGCGGCATTCCTCTTTTAAAAAATAAAACCAAACCTTAAGAACATTTATTTCAATAATATAATCGATTTAAATCATCTTCAAATAAAGAAAGTGTACTTAATAACACTTACAATTTTATAACAACTTTGTTGATGATTAATACATTAAAGGTTAAAATACACTCACATTGATACACGACTTTATGATAATAACGTATCGGTGTGAATAACGTATTAAGACGTGTTCCAAATTTTAATATTCCGTAGTAGCATTTCATTTTTAACAACTTTTTCTGAGATTTCATAAATAATCCTTCTAATAAATAATACAATTACTTGCCAACTAATAAAAAAATTATACACCCCATGACGCGATAGATAAACCCGAAGACCCCCGCAGAGCGCACGCGCTGCGTATTACGCTCTATCATATTTAAAACATAGTACATTATTGCTGACAGATTTTTCGGTTGTTTCAATCATCTGCTGCGGGCGGTTATCTTAAAATTTAATATTTAATTATTATTTTTTTCACTTCGTATTAAATACTTTAAGACAATTATCAATAGTATTTTTACAACAATACAAAAAAGTTACACAAGTTAATGTTACGCGACCGAATTTCATAGTTCTATGTGAATAGATAGATGTACGTCAAGGGTGGTCTCACATAAATTAAAAATTCTACTTTAAAGGTTGGTAAAATCCATCGTTAGAGATTTAAAACGTTTCACTAAAAAAAATTATTTTATTTTACAGCGTACTTATTGCTGTCTAGACAGAAAAATCTACATTTGAAAAATCTGTACGATATTTATATAATGCCCTTGTGGCATCAACACACAGATAGAGGGATGTTTACTATTACGGAATAAAGGGTGCCAAAATACTCAACAGTGCATAACTCATAAATAAAATACAATATGGTGAGCAAAACATTGAATTATGCTGGTATTATGTCACATTTAACGTTAGTGAATTTGTCAATGCATAACGCAAGGGTGGCAGACGCTTGGGTGTCGGTGGCTATTGTTCGCGGATAGTGTAGGGAACAGATTTATGGCTATCTTATTAGTTGCAATAAATACATATAGGTAACTAGCATTGCCCGCGGCTCCGCCCGCGTTCAGATGACCAAAAACCAAATTCTTAGGTTTTACATATTAGTATACTCTTACAATGCAGTTTTTGTATTTTTTCTCAGAAATGAGATATAATCCCGCGGTAAAAAGTATCCTATATGTTGACCCGGATAACCAGCTATCATCATACCAAATTTCATCAAAATCTATCCAATTGTTTTCTCGTGATGCGGTAACAGACAGACAGAAAGACAAAAATTCTAAAATCTATTGATTCGGACTCTGTATCGATAATAATGTCTATTGCAATTAGATTTTGCAAAAAAATAATAATGTACAGATTCAGCTTAGTTAGAATTTTATTACATGTATAGATGTTACAAAGTCATTGTCAAGTTCTAGATTCTGGTTATACTCTCCTAGTTGAGTTAAAGTAATAAATCAAAAAGATCTTTAATTTTATCCACTGACACATTCGAAAATATAATCTTTTAAATTATTAATGAATGATGAATTTTAAAATATAATGCCGAGAAATCATCAAAGTTTGATAAAGAACGTCAATTATTGGTATTATTGGTATTTACCACAATGACTTGAACTCGTATTGAAAACACTTCACTATATAAGCAAAATGTTCGCTCCGCTTTGGCATAAAGGGGGAAACAGCGAGCCCGATTCAGCGAAATCATAGAAAAGCACATAAATTGGCGCGCATTAACATTTCCTTTATCCTACGTGTCGGCGTATGACGGGGGCGCCTCCGCCGCCCGCTGCCGCACTGGAGCCGCCCAAGACAATAAATTTACATATTTCACCCCTCAAACAGACCTTTTTTGCCATTCCGCAGAATTACGCACATATGGGAATATTCTGTTGAATATATCAGCAGTAAGGAGATATACTCTCAGAATAAAATTATCGCCTCTAACACATTTGCAAACGAACAGCCCGAATAAAACAGCATATAAAGAATATTAATCCATTTTATTGTAAAAATATTAATGAGCTCAATATTGTTAAGATATGCGCAATATTATTATAATATATTCAAATATTGCGTAACTGTACCGTTAGAGTTATTGATGAACATGTCTTAAAAATTTTTGGTTTGTAAATGACCAATCTGCATGTGATTGAACTAATTCTTAATGTTTAGGGCCCCCCAGTGAAACGTCACTAAAATTCTTTATCTTATAATATTAAATCAAATTTTGTATTTAGATAAGTTTCTTTTAATTTACCTATATAGATGTATTTTTTGAAAAAATAATTTTTATTATATTTTTCAAAAAAAAAACGCCGATTGAAACTCGGTCACCCAGGTACTTTAATTTAAATATTATAGACATTAAATTTAGTAAACTTCAAGCGGTACAATTTCACGTCTGTTAAACATATTTAAAAAAAAGAAATCTGGAGCTAATAGCACGACACTAAGTTGTAATATACATATACACGTATATAATATATGTACATAGGTACACTGTGGTCAAATCATCTAATTCAATTCAATTTTCTTGTTAAGGGCTTCAAAGCCTGCCAGTTGATCACAGACTTGTTCAGCAATTTCACGTATAATGGAGAAAACACGAAGGCGTAAAATAAGATCATTAAACTATATTAAATTATACATTATATGAAGAAAAGTATATGCTTAAACATTGCACCTACGACAAAAGATAGAACCCAATTTTAATTTCTATGACAATTTAGACAAATAATGCCGGAACTAGTGATTCTTAGATCGGTTTATCATTTAATATTGATAAATATAATTACAAATTTATTTATTATTACAAAAATAAAAGATATAATAAAGAAAAATGTGTGTTGTATTTAGTGAATTTATTCTTTTTTAGAGCATTTATATATAGCTTTATCCTTTTTTTTTCAATGTTATAACTTCTTTTAATGTTTTTTTTCCGTATTCTTCTCATCAAACCCTTTTATTTGATATCCATACCATGGATATAATGGATAATAACAAAATAGTCCGCCATTTTTGGGAGTCCGCCATATTGGATTTACAATGACATTACTTTGCCTATTGGGTTTCGCTCATCAAGCCCTTTCATTTGATACCCATATCATGGGGGTGGGTGCATAAAAAATACAGTCCGCCAAAAGAAGTATCACTTCAAAAATTAGATAAATTTACCTCTTTAAATTAAATGTACTTAAATATTATAATTATTGTTTTGTATAAAAAAATATATTAATAGCGAATAAGAACACCCATGCATTGACTTAAAGAAAAGCGACGAATGAACATAAAATTATTTTTTGATAGTTTCGTTTATTTTATTAGGACTCTTATAATGAATGGTAACTGTTTATTATTTCTTAAAATAAATTAAAAAAAAACTATAAATGACAAAAATGTATTTTTGTTGTTTAAAATTTGTTTTAGTTAAGATGTAAGAGTTTAGTCCATAAAATAAAATAATGTTTAAAAAATAAAAATATTTATTATTTTTAATATTTTTGATCTGTCAACTAAGGTACAGATCATCATTTTATACACAACACACCATTTAAAAGCACGAGTATAATATAAGTGACTTGAACGACTGTTTTTATTTGTTAATAATAATATTTTTGAAATAATTAACTTCACATTAATGTGTTAACTTATTATTATCAAACATTAGATAAACAACGAACGAACTTTTAACAGATTCATCGAAATGGTTTAAATTTTTGGTTGTATATTTTCTGCGATTAAAATTATTATAAACTAATGACTCGCCCTCGCTTCGCTCAGGTTCGTCCCTAGGTACATTTTGACGCTTAATATGGAATAGATTTTTTTTCAATTTTTTTTTTTGGAATTTTTCCGATGTTTAATAGTTATTCTGCTATTCGGGGTGTAGACAAATTTAACAAAAATCATAAAAATCCGTCCAGCAATTCTCGAGTAATAAGTGTTGTAACAAACCCGACTTTGTTTTATGTATATAGATTTTATAGTTTTAACTGTGAAGTATTTTAAATATCGAAACTTTAAGCCCTAAAGTAACAAACAAATGAGTTAACGTTTGTAATTCTTCCGGAAAGTGTGTTTTTTTATCGATCAAATCTTTGTTTAAATTCTTTTATTAGTCAATTGGGCCAGATATATATAAAAACTTCAGTATATAATTAAATATTTAATTTTAATTAGTATACTAGAGATATAATACACATGAGCAAATATACAGATGGAAATGTAATTTTGCGGTAGAGGCACCCTCCAAAGGGTCAAATCAAAATCATTTTCACAGTCCAGTGAAGCAGTGTGTGTACAGTCAGACACTCTGCGTGCCTTCTGACGGTTGCTGAATTTCACGTGAGATATGGGGCGCTTTATCAGTCTTTATCTATACTTATTATAAAAATAAGTCCCCCGGCCGCGTCTTTCTGTCCTCCTGTCTGTCTGTACGCGATAAACTCGAAAACTACTGAACGGATTTTTATACGGTTTTCAACAATAGAAAGAGTAAT